CGAGGAGGCGAGTTGTCAGTGACTCGATTTCCACTTGAGTAAACATTAACGTGCCGGACGCCCCATTGAAATTCAAGCGTGCAATTCATTTCCACTTAATTTTCAACGCTACTTTTGCGCTTTCCTTGTGCTTTTCCATTGCCTGCATACCCAAGGCAAGAGGGTATGACAGATATGCAAGCCAATGAAAATGAGAAAATTCCAAGTCAAAATCAATCTGGCGGGAAAATGAAGTTTTTTCCAGAATCTTCGTTTTCCCACGCTGATTAATTTTTGCCCAGGGTATTTAATAGTCGGTACACCAAGTTCAGTATTTGTTTTATTTCTTGTTTTTTTTTGAGGAAGTTTCGGGCGGTGGTTTTTGTGATTTTTGTCATTTCCGTTTTGGCCATTTAATATTTTTTTTTTTGGCAAAGTTTTGAGGGAAATGTGTTGCAAATTAGTCACAAGTGTCTAAATTCTGATGCGCCGCGCGTCACAAAGTCAATTTAACGTAAATTTATGAAAATGAGAGAGCAAAATATTAGATATAGAGAGAGTTGTGTTTCTCGGCAGCTCGGCAACTTGGGCTGTGTAATTTGTGGCACTTTGAGCGGGTAAATTGATAGCAATTAAGCGAGGCGCGTGGCCGTATTTGAGTTGAGCTCTCAGGTTTGATTAGTCTGTGTGTGTGTGTGTGTGTGTGTGTTATTGAAATTGATGGAGCGTATCTTTGGCTGGGGCTAGTGTCCTATAGATTTGAGTCGGAGCGGGAATATAACATTAATTTCGATGGGGGAACTGAAGTTTATTGATTTGTGTGTTCCGCCGATTACAAATTGTATCCACAAATTGGAATTGCCGCCTTAAAAGTTGTCTATTCTAGGCATAATCATTACCAGCAACCTCTCAAATATTGGCCCAGTCTTTCTCGTAGCTTTCCTCTAATTTGTTTTGTTTTGCCGCGTTGATTTCATTTATCCGGTTGCCTAATTAATTAGATTGCGGCGTTTGCCGCCTCAGGTAATGAACGAATGAACTCCGCGCTCTGCACCTATTACAATTGTCACCCACAAAGAGCCGCCTTGACTGGAGCTGGAGCTGGGGCTGGGTGAACATTTTGTTGTAAATTGATTAACTGACTGACAAAGCGAAACGACTGAAACGACTGAAACTGACTCGCAGCAGCCATTGGCGTTTTGCTGTTTGTTTTAATTAAATTTCTATTTTCCATTAACTATATAATTATCTCATTTCATTATGCTCTAAATTATATAACACTAATTGAATGTGTAGAGCATCAACAGAGTAAACAGTTTGTGCAGCTGCTCGATTGAAAAGCCAGAAAGTAGTTCAATAGAAGCTCAGCTGGTTTTAGTACTTGATATAAGTGAGAAGTTAACTGGCTAACTGGTGCTTCAGAAGCTATATATACATAGGTCTATATATAAAACTGACAGGTGATCTAGGCAAGGACCAAATCGTAAGGCTAGGATCTTAACTTTTGGCTCCAAAGTGAGTACAAAGAGAGGGAAAGCACTTGTCTTTCGAAAAGTCGACTTCAAAGTTGAGAAAAAGTCGTAGATTTATAGTAAAAAGCAAGCCCAGGCAACACTTAAATCTCTGAGCGTCGAACTAACAAGCGAGTGGTCTCTGTTTCAAACTCGAATTCAATAGCGTGAACTATTTAAGTGAACTTTTCTCTGCCTGAAGTCACGGCGACAGTTTTGGTCTCACTTGCATTTTCAACAGTATCCATTCGACCTGGGCAAGGCCGGGTAACTTTATCTAGTGTGGTGTTAAATTTATAATATATATTATTATTTCATATTATTATATTATAATTTCACCATTTTCTGGCTCATTTATTTCCCAGCTCACCGACATATTTTCAGCATAGTTGGCTTATCAATTGGCCTGGTCGGGGCTCATTAAAGTTGTGACCAAAGCTCGAATATCACTTCAGTTAAATGTTTACAAGCTGCCAGACAATGTCCGGATTATGGCTGCAGAGCACATTTGTTGTTGCCACAACTGTTTGTGTTTTGGCCATAACAGAGCGAGAGAGAGAGACGAAACCTGTGTTAAAGTTAGTTTATTACTTAATTTTTACTAGCTGTCAATTCAAGGCGACAATTTGTGCTCGCCCGAGACGCCAATGAACTCCGGAACAAACTCCGAGCCAGCAGCCAGCACCGGCAACATCATCCTACTTATGCGGGCTGTGTGCTGCACTTGTTACGCACCCGCAGCGGAGGAGAAGGAGGAGGAGGACGAGGACGAGTACATTTACGGGTTACATTATAGCCAACCGTTGCCCTAATCCTACGGCCAGCTGCCCCACGGCCTGCCTCATGCATTGTCCGGCTTTTATGGCACGTTGTAAACACTGCGCATAAACTTTGCACTAAAGTGTTGTCGTATAAATTGTATTATGGCAGCTCCCAGGCTGGCCATTTACTGGGGTTGATGGGGTGTCAGAGGGGGGAGGGGGTAGAGGGAGGGGGCGCGTGTGAAAAGTAACAAACAGCTCGACGGCCAGACAAAGCAAAAAGTAAAAGTACAAGTTTTTTCGCTTTTTGTATTTGTTTTACTTTCTGCCAAAGCGCTTTTTGCTTTTTGCCAAGATATTTATCATTTTGGCTAGCGCAGCTTTTAATTACAATTGTTGTGGCTAGCTTTTTGTTTGCCGCACAAGCTCCACAAACGGCGTCCGCCCACGCCCCATTCCCACTCTCACGCCCACTTCCAACGCCCACTTCCCACTCCAATTCCTGTTGATCCTGAGCCGAGGCCAGTAAATTGCATTTTCACGCCCAGCTGCATGGCAGACGCAAACGCAAACGCATCGCATCCACCATCTACCCCGGCATCATACTCATCCACGTCCTCGTCCACGTCATCATCGTCATCTTCATCATCGTCATGCTCATCGTCATCTTCATCATCGTAAGGTTTTTTTTTTGGCCTTTTTCGTTGCCTGTCTGTCTGTTTGGCTGGCGTGGATAGTGAATTGCCCGGATTCGTTTTCATTTCATGACCATTATTTCGACTATGCCGTGCATAGGCACGGCTGACCCGGAGAATTCTAACTGCCATGGCCCCGGGCCAGACATTTCTGTTGCTAAACTCATTTGCATGATTTCTGGTTGCGCTTCTTTCCCTTTATTTCCAGTTTCATTACGCACGCCTACCAAGAAAACAGCAAAAAAAAATATACCAAAAATTCGATGAGTTTCCCAAGTCGATGTACGATTTCGGTTCGTTTATTTGCCGGCAACTTTGTGATTTATAAGGCAGCATACTTTCGCTCCAATCGAAAGCTGAGAAGTTTATAAAGGCAAGTGGAAAATCAAGGACAGGTAATACTTCAATATATAAAGGTTAATCCATATTATGATTAAAACAAGGAATTCCTTAACCTAATATTTCACTTTTAATATAATATATTTAATCGCATATTGAGCTCTTTAAATATTGACATGCGAAATCTACATGCAAGAAAATAAAGGACATGTAACTTAAGTTCACTTAATGCTGATTTTCCTGTAAGAAAATCTTCAATGTCTAGATCCATATCAAAAAATGATGATTAAAACTACGAAACCTTTAATATAATATATTTAATCGCATTTTGAGCCCCCTACACTCGGCTTTTCCTGTTCCTGACATGCGAGATCTATATACTAAAAAATAAAGGAAATTTACAAAATTAAGTTCACCTGGTGCTGATTTTCTTATAGGAAATTCTTCAATATATAAAGCTATATCAATTATATGATTAAAACTAATAAGTCTTTAACCTAATATTTTACTTTTAATAAAATAAATTTAATCGCATTTTGAGCTCCCTACACTCGTCTTTTCCTGTTGCTGCTCCTGACATGCGAGATCTATATGCAAGCTCTTTCTATATTTTCAACAATTTAATTGGCGGTATATTCGCTCTTCTGGCAAACTTTCTATTGCGATTTCCTGTGCCATAAATCATAGTTAGTCTTTTGTGTGTGTGTGTGCGTATTTTTTTAGAGCCCACGGCTGCTGTCGCTTGGCTGTCAGTTTTGAAGGCCATATCGAGCCGCGGGTCTGGCCACAACATCGAACTCCCACGGCCAGGGAGACAATGGAGGAGCAGACGATGACTACAAATTGGGCGCATTTCCTGGCGTAAAGTTGCCAAAAACTCTGGAGGTCTGGACCCGGAGTCGGGCCTCCAACGATGACTCAGCCGCGGGCAATCGAAATTTTTACTTTTGCTGCACTTTTTCGTAGTCGCTGCAATTTGGTTGCCTTTTCGTTTATTTTAGTTTTTCTTGTCCTATTTTTTTGTGTTTGCTGCATTTGACATTCTGTGACTTTTGCTGGCGCGTAATTTATGTGAGTTTTGCTACCAGGGCGCTACACAGCGCAAAAAAAGGAGGCAACTTTAACAACCGGCGACATTATGCGAAAAGACAGTTGCATAGTGCGGACAATAACAACAACAAATGGCTCAACTTGCCGCAGCATAACTTTGTTTGCCGTTGCCCCACATAAGTGGGCAAAAGTACTCGTAAGTAAGTAAGTAGTTTGTCCCCAACTCCGAGTGCCTTGCATGGCTGTCCAACTGTCTCCCTGTCTCCCTGTCTGTCTGTTTGTCTTGGCGCACAATCAGCTGTTTGTTTGTTTGTTTGTCTGTTTGTTGTTGTCAAGTTGTGTGCGTGTCGCCACATTCGAGTTTCTTGTTATTCATATTCATTAGCGCTCTATTGTGTGCCATGAAATTGCAATAGTACTCTAAATTTTGACAGCAATTAAATGGCAAGAGAATAATCCAGTTGCCCCAGTGCAAAAGGATGTTGAATAATACGCGAGCGATAAGTCGATTTAATAAATTATGTTTGTTCGAAAAGTAGATTTATAAAAATGCGCACATTCGAATCTTAGCTTTGTCTTGCCTCGATTTTAGTGTAAATAGCTGCCATGATCTTTGCCTAATTAATTGGCAAATGGATAAATTTAAATTTTAATTTTAAATTTACACACATCAAGTCGTCTCTGAAAAATCCATCCCATCTCAGTCCAGGCGGACTTGACTACTTCAATGAAGCCTCATTCTTACATATCAAGCCTAGGCAGTAACACCTAAATTCTTTTGTAGTCTCAATTTGTTTTGGTTTTCAGGTGAGAAAAAAAAAATATATAAAAAAATTTATCAAATAAATTGTATATGTAATTTTCAGAGCAATCATGTGTTGTGGACCTTGCGGTGGCTGCTGTGGACCCTGCGGCGGCGGATGTTTTGGACCTAATGTTTGCGGTCCGTGCTATGCGACAGGACCCTGTTTCGGTTGCTGCGGCGGCAGTGCCTGTGGCCCTTGCGGCGGTTGTTGCAGTAGCTGTGGACCCTCTTGCTAAATCCGACAAATCCCGACTACACTTTGAAAATGCTATCAGAAATCAAAATAAAGGAATGTAAGAATTCGTAAAAGTCGTGTTTGTATTCTTAATATAAGGTAGTATATCAAATTGAGGGGATCTAATACAATACTTCCTGAATATGAAGGTATTAGAAAAATAATATATAAAATACATAAAAAATGTATGACTCTTAAATCTATTATTCACTTTAAATCTATAATATAAAGAGAAACGAATTTTTATTACCAGATTAAGTGAATTTCTGACGAACAAGAAAAAACTTGTTTAATGTTGTTTTTGTGATAAATTTAAAATTATATATTTTAGTTTTTATACTAAATATATTTTCTTTTCTTAGTATTAAGACTTTAATTAAAATTTAGTTACGCTTTAAATAATAACCACATCAACTTTGTTTAATTAACTCGCCAATCGAATGAGTCTGCCCTGGTTGTGGACGAACTTCTATGTGTGGTTATATTTTGTTTTTTATTTGCTAAAATAGAAGCGATCCTTAAACTTTCAAATAGAGCTTCAGTTGGGTGGGATCTGATACAATACTTCCTGAATTGTTTAGCTTTTCATGCAAGATATAACTTTATTTGTATTTAGTTTAAAATTGTGCCAATTAGAATAGTGGGTACTCTTGTTTACATAAAATTAAAATGCAGTTAAGCTTCGAATAATAACCACAACCGTTTTTAAATTAACTCGCCAATCGTAATTATTCTGGCCTGGCTATGGACGCATTTCATGTGTGGCTGTAAATGTTTGGCCAGGGGAAAATATTGTTTTTAGTTGCGATCCCTAAACTTTCAAATAGAGCTTCAGTTGGGATCTCGCTAAAGTTCGTTATAAAGCCAAAATCGTGCACATTCAGTATTAAGTACTCATGCTAACTGCCAGGCAAGGATAACAGTCACCCGGCCACAAAGCGGGAGAGCTGCCAACTTTATTTAACTGTTTGCCAAGCTGTCAAGCACTAGCTAACTGCCACACGCTCCCACACACACACACACACACACACACACACATACACCACATGCTCATAAGTGGTTGGGCATGGAGTTTTTGTTCTGGGTACTGGGTACTGCTCTCTGCTCTCCTGCTGCCGCTGGCTGTGGTCCTTGTCCCGATTGGGAGTACAGCGTAAAAGCCAAAAAGGAAACGCGCTACATTTGCGCTCAACGTGTTTGCCTTCAACGTTTCACGCTTCGATTGCCGTACAGCCAAAGCCGGAGTCGAGGCACCTGAGAGCTCAACTAGCGCACACCTTTACCATATATATACAGATACATATTGAGCTACAGATACTGCTGCACACACACACACACACACACACACACACACACACAGGGACACACACACATTTTAATCTAGCTGCAGAAAAATGTATTCGAACACGCAGAGCAGCATCAAGTATACGCCGCGTATTGGCCGAAATTAAATTTTAAATATTTATAAAGCTGGGCGCCAATAAAAGGAATTCGCAATTGGCCTGATTGGCTTTTAATCGCAGCAGACAGTTTTTAATAAATATGCATAACGCTTGCCACGCCCACAGCTGAAGCCGCCTCAATCGAGCTAATTTCAATTGAGTTTGTGTGTGGGCGTTGCTGCGGACACGGACAAACAGCTCGAACTCGTAACGGATGCTGCATTGTGTTTTGTGCGGAAAAGCCAAAAATCAAGTGAAATTTATGATTGCGATAAAATTGCGTGAATATGTGTGGCAACAGCTACTGCGCCTCGAACGGATGCCAGCTGCAGGAGACTAACCCCAGCTGTTACTTATGCGCATCCAGACGCAGCACGTAGCTGGCAGATACACACACTTTGTTGCGAGTGGGGCCTCGCACGGGGCTTCCGGTGACTACATAAGATATCCAATCGGGCGACTGCAATTTCGTAAATCGAACAAAACTGTTAGCCCATAGCTGCATTCGGCATAAAGCAAGCAATCAAAGCTGCCCAGGCAGCCAAATGTCAGCTACCCAAGCTGCCAAAACTCCATAGTGCGTGCCATCAATCCCATCATCATCATCATCATCATGATCATCGGGAGCAACATCATCATCGTGTCGTTGGTTTTATCGTGCAGTTTGTCGCATTGGCTGAGCTGATAAGCAGAACAGCTCGTAATATGCATGCCTGAGTGCTGAGTTCCTGCCTCCTGGCTCCCAGCTCCCGGTTCCGGCCTTTTCCACTCGACTCTAGCCAGCGCTTGTTTATTTGCCGGCAAAATTGTGAAATAATGTGCTGCAATCAATTCGCAATACATGCGCTCTGGCCACATGCCCCGGTGCAGCGCAAAAATATGTGCACTCAAGAGTTTTGAAGCGGCAGCTGCCACAACAACTCTCCGACATACCATGATGAATATGTTTACATCAATAACAACACCGAGAAAAAAGGGCTATCTTCGGCACGCCAAAGATTTAATACCCTTGCAGACCAAGCCTTTTCATAATGCTCATGGTGGTTTGCCCGTATGGTTAAGATATCTTGAAAAACAAAAAAGGTTTCCATGCAAGAACCTACTTTTCGACCGATCGTTCCTATGGCAGCTATATGATATAGCGGTCCGATCCAGCTGGTGAGACAGAAAAAAGAACTTCAGCAAAAATCATGACGATAGCTTTAGAACTGAGGAACTAGTTCGCATAGAAACAGACAGACGGACAGACAAACAGATGGACATGGCTATATAGGCTACTGATCTAGAATATATATACTTTATGGGTTCGGAGATGTCTCCTTCTAGGCGTTACACATTTCACGACAAAATTATAATACCCTCTGCAAGGGTATAAAAACCCGGGTCAATAATAAAGCGCTGCTCCAACTCGCTCAGCTTCTCTCCATAGCCGATGGCTGCAGCTGCCGATGATGAACACGTCAAAATGAGTTTACTCTGCGGTCTGATGGCAGCGATTGCAGCCAACGACTAGATACCCCACAAAGTGCTTGACATCCAACCAACGAGGGATTAATCAGACGCGGGTTCTCGAAATTTTAAAGTGTAACATGAAGTTATCCCGGACTCAATTTAAATCGCAAGCTGGCGATCTATTGGAGGAGGATATTTCATGTTTAGGCTGCGACTCAGTTGTCAAAATTGTCAAGGTTTCCAAATTATAAAAGACACAATTGCAAGTGTTATAAAAATATAAAAAATTCAAGGAATATATATATTAGTATTTTTATCATAAGTATATTTTGTAGTGTTAGTCATAGTTAGAGGAAAAAATGGAGGGAAATGATAGCGTGAGGGGCATATTGAAGGTTGGGGCCAATGTGGTTGACAATATCATATTGAAGACGGCCAAGTTCGATGAGATGAACGTTTTGGCGACCTTTCATCCGGCGAACAAGGACTACGGCCACATGATTATCGATGAGCCGAAGACGCCGTTTGTCTTTGATGAAGACTTGCCACATGATCTGGACACGACCACGCTGATGGAGAAGCTGCGCCTGGCCGCATTATCGGAGACGCCGGCTTTTGGCATTGATGTCGACTCGGACGATTCGTCGGTGGACGAAGACTATCCGGAATCGGTCGATGAGAAGGTGCGTCGCCTGGAGTTCGAGCGTCGTCGCAAACTGCACTACAAGGAGTTTCTATCGGTGCCGCTGGCGCGTCGCCTCATTGCCCTGGAGTTCGGCGACATGATCAGCTCGGAGATCAGCATAAAGGATGAGACGGTGCCGGACATGGAGAGCTGCTCGTTCGAGACGTGTGTCAATGAAGAATCCGGCCGTAGCATTTTAGGGTCCCCGGGCTCATTGGGCTCCATGCCGACGTCGAGGCACAGCTTAGAAGAATTACAAGAACCACCAGTAATCGAGCCGGGTTTCGCCAAAGATCATCCCTGTTATCAAAAGCTTATGGCCGAATTGAATTTATTGCCAGAAGTCACGCCCATTCGACAGTCGGTGACAATAGCAGCCGGAGACCCTGCAACGGCAGAGGATGATCAGAAGTTAGGAAAGGAAACGGCGGAGCAGCCGGCGCCAAGAACTACCTAGGCCACAGGACGGACTAAAAGGACTATAGATCTCATCTGGCATTTGAAGCTAATTTATGTTATGCATTTTGATGTTCTCCTGTTCAAATTAAGACTGCCTGCTAGCGATGTCTATTAAAATTGTTACGTTCAAGTGAATTGGCATTGTTGTTGGCCCCAAGGCCCGGAACTGACTTGAGATTAGCCAAATGCTTTGCATTTGCCAATTGTTTGCCAGTTTTGTTGAGGCTGGCTCTCTTCCTGTCCGAGCTCATTTGGCTGCCTGAATATTTAATTACGCCTGTTTGGCCAACTCGTTTCCTGTTGTGTTCTTATCCGAGCTGGCTTTATAATTTCCATTACTTGGTTAACTGTCTGGGTTTCGTGTGCATCGACTGTCGCAAAACTTTGTTTAATAACTAATTTCGACATTTTGTTTTGTGCATTGCAACGTAATTGAAAATTCCTTTGGCAACCGAACGCATTTCCTTCAGGCCAAGATAAATTAATTTTGATTTATTATTGCAGCCGCACCTCAACATCTTCTGGTCATGTCTCGTTAACAAACTACGCCATTTAAATGTTATTTTGGCTTCGAGATTCCAATTTTGCGCATAATGTTTAAATTAGCAGTCAAATAAAAGTGTTATAAGCAGAGCTTTAATTATTGTATGGCCGGTTGAATAATTTTCACAAACTGCTCTGCTAAAAATTGTAAGAGCCCATGCCCAGACCAGGACCATTGACTGCCATTAAGATTAGATTTTTCGAGTGTGCAAAATACTTAAATTAAATCAGCTGCATAAATTGCTCTAATAAAGTAGAAAATTATACCTGGACCTGACAGCTTATTAATTAGTCGTGTCGAATTAAAAGTCAAGTATGTTAAATTGAATTCGAACAGTTTTCATATTTGAAATTTTCAATGTGCTCCAAAATTTATGACAAGGAAAGAGGAAACTAAAATGAAATCAAATAAATAAAATAAATATAAATAATTAAAATATATAACATAAATAAAATAAACAACATAAATTTAAATAAATTCAATGAATTAAAAAAATAAGCTATATAAAATAAATAAAATAAGTAAAATAAATAAAATAAATAACATAAATAAAATAAATAATAATAATAATACGAAAATAAGCTTAATCGGATTTGAATTGCTTTAAGCACAAAATAATATGCCATTTAATGGGCGGGTCTTTCCCTCTCATGTTTCAGCTCCTTTGTCCACTTGTCGAATTGAAGGCACGTAGAATGTGCTGGGGAAAGCCTTAAATGTGGATTTGCTGGCTGCAGTATGTGTGAAATGAAATTTAAGTTGGCCCAATTTATGGCCTGGCCAGAACACAAAGCCGCAGACGCTGCCATCTTCATATGCCATATGCCGTGTGTATGCGTGTGTGTGTGTGTGTGCGTGTCCTTCTTCTTTAGCACACGACAATTGCCGTGTACATTTCATTAAGTGCATAAGCCGTCGGCTGTCAGCGCTGTGTGTAATGCATTTTAAGCCGGAAAATTATTTTTAATGCTATTTACAGCACAAATGAAAATGCAAGCGTAAATAAAGAAACGGCAGTCACGAACTGGACCCGTCTGGACCCGGACCCGAGCCGGAGCACAACAAACTTAACTACAAGCCGCACAACAATTGAAATGCAGCCAATTTAAAGCTGCTGCTGCACCCTTCCGTTCGCCTTGCCGGGGAGTCAAGTTGGAGCTTCAGGGGTGGAAAACACGCGCGCGTGTCACTAAGAGTGCAGCTAAATATTTGCCGAAGCATTTTTGGTATTTACGACGGCATGTCGTGTGGCATGCGGCCACTTGGTCCCAAGGGATGCGCCTAGAGGTGCAGCTTGGCAGTCGCCCAGGTTGAGGCGTGTGGAATGCGCTGTTGGAGCTTGGCGCCGCAGCCGGAGCCAATGACAAATACTTGAACGCTGTGCAGTGCGCATCAATTCTCATTTTGATAAATTATAAAATGTCCAACGTGGTCGGTTTCAGTTTAATGGATTGCCCCATCCCAACTAAATCCAAGTGTGTAGCATGGCAATCACATCTCCCCAGGGTGTGTATGAATGTGTGTGAGTCTGTGTGAATGTGTATAAATATGTATACGTATGTTATTTTATGCCAAGTGAAAACAAAATTTCATATACAGCTGCGCAGAATCTTATGTTATATATTGCCATTCTCCGCGATTCTCATGAATTCTACTGACTTCTACTGGCTTTCTCGCTTTGACTATAATTGTTATATTAATAAGTTGTATGGGCAATCCAATAAACTATATCTCTACTCAAACTCACTCTCTAGTTTATTAACTTGTACTCTATCTATCTCCGCTCTCCATCTAATCGCACTTTCAGACGGGGTTTCCTGAAATGTGTGGAAAATTCGCGGAAAACAGCTGCATGAAACTTTTTTACTTACCATCTGATCGGCCTCAAATTCATTTTCAAAGATCATTGTTCAAATTCATTTAAGGGGTGTTTCACACTTTTCGAAAAATGCATTCCTTCTTAGTGGAAATGGGCGTCAAAGATTTGGTGGGTCACGTTTCCGAATAAATTTCCAAGGAAATTATTTGAGACATGGCTTAATGGCTTGGTCTCTAAATTAATTTGGCATTGAATTCTGGCAACATTATTCTTGGTCAAAATTCGTTTGAATATTAATATTTGAAATGAATATTAACACATCTTCAAGGCCTTTTTTATTATATTTGTGTATATGGTATCCTTTGACACCATACAAATTTATTTGACTTATTATTTTAATACTTCTTTATTTAAATACCTCAAATTATGACTTTACTTTAATTATGCCTTTAATCATACCAGAATTAATATATTCCTATTTTGCGAAGAAACTAAAAATTTGGATACCTAAGCCATTAAATTGATTAAGCGCAACTACTGTGGCCTCAAGAAATCAAAATTAAGAAAACAAGAAATGACCGAAAACTGAGCTCGAAGTGATGTAAGAGCGACCGAGAAGGTGAGAGAAGATTGAAAGAAGAAGAGTCAACAGTATAAAAAGAGCGGCGTTTTGCAGTTGGGCTTCAATTGAAGCTGCATGGTGGCCCTGCAAGGGGCTTCGCATTATTATGAATTTACGTGTTACAAAAAAACGGAAGATATCAGCAGGCAAAATTTTTTAGCAAGAGCGCAGGGCATTAGATCTTCACGATTGAAAGTCAACAGTATAAATAGAGCAGCGCTTTGCAGTTGGGCTTCAGTTGAAGCTGCCAGTCGACCCGGCAAGGGGCGGCGTATTATTATACATTTACGCGTTTAAAAGAATGTAAGCAGACCATATGTGGGATGAAACGAGATGGCAGTTCAGGCACCATACTAATAAGAAGAGTGAGGAGTAATGACAACTGCTAGATCAAGAAGTACGATTGAAAGAAGAAGAGTCAAGAGTATAAATAAAGCGGCGCTTTGCAGTTGGGCTTCAGTTGAAGCTGCACGGTGAACCGGCTAAGGGCTGCGAATTAATGTGTATTTAAGTGTTTAAAAGAATGTGAGAAGACCATATGTGGGAGGAAGCGAGATGACAGTGCATGAACAATACAAGAAGAGCGAAGAGTAATGACAACTACTGATCAACAAGTACGATTGAAAGAAGAAGAGTCGACAGTATAAATAAAGCAGCGCTTTGCATTTGGACTTCAGTTGAAGCTGCAAGGTGGTAAAACTAATATGCATTTACTATTCATTTAATATGCATTTACGCGTTTAATAGAATGTAAGCATTTCACAAGTGAGCGTGAGCGAGATGGCATTACAGAAACAATACTAATAAGAAGAGTGAGGAGTAAAGACAACTGCTGGACCAACAAGAATATATGTTATTTCAAATGGCAAATTGATCACATCGCAAATAACAATTGGTTTTATTGGCATAATTAAGGTAAGCACACAAAATAATATTAAAGATTTTCATAAAAAAGGACCTTTCCCATGAATATTCGCACATCTTCAAAGCCTTTTTTTATAATTTTGTGTCCTATGGTATACGCTGACACCATACAAATTTATTTGACTTACTATTTTCATACTTCTTTATTTAAATACCTCAAATTATGCCTTTACAAATCACACCATAATTAATATAATCCTATTTGCAGTTGAAGCTGTAATTTTGCGAAGAAATTAAAAATTTGGATACCCAAGCCATTAAATTACAACGTCTTTGGCCTTAGGAAACCAAAACTAAGAAAATTAAGAAAACGAGAAATGACCGAATATTGAGCTAAAAGTTATGTATGAGCGAACGAGAAGGTGAGAGTTTCTTTTAAGAAGCTTTCCGTGCATGCATGTGTATAACCACACGATTGAAAGAAGCAGAACAGATCAGACAAACATTTTTTGGAGAAATCGCATAAAGGCTTCAGGATTGAAAGAAGAAGAGTCCACAGAATAAATAAAGCAGCGCTTTGCAGTTGCAATTCAGTTGAAGCTGCAAGGTGTCCCGGCTAAGGGGTGCGTATTAATATGCATTTACGCGTTTAAAAGAATGTTAGCAGTTCACAAGTGAGAGAGAGAGAGAGATTGCTGGAACAATACTAATAAAAAGAGTAAAGAGTAAGGAAAACAGATGGACCAACACGTACATTTTTGATGTAAAACGGCAAATTGATCACATCGCAAAGAACAAGTTGTTTTAGGAGGATGATTAAGGTGAGTACCCAAAATAATTTTAGCGATTATGTCATAAAGAAGACCTCTTTACAATGAATATTAATACACCAACGACCTCTTGTATCATTTTGTATCTTAAGATATTCGTATACACCACACGAATTTACTTGTATTTATTATCTCTATATAAAAATTCAAATATCTTATATAGACATAGGTCTAAATGTCACACCCCCATAAATCGGTCAAAACTCAACCGATTTTCATAAGTTTTGTCTTTTTGTTCATGGTTTGTCCTCTATAGAAATAGGTCAAAATGTCCCACCCCCATTACTCGGTCAAAACTCAACCGATTTTCATATGGTTTGTCTTTTTGTTCATGGTTTGGCCTCTAGATCAATTTTGCATCTAAATCTGGCAACATCTTTCTTGGTCGAAATTTATGTGAAATTGGTACCCTAAAGTATCCTATATAGACATAGGTCAAAATGTCCCACCCCCATA